GGGTATCGTTGTCCCCATTCACTTCTCTAGTGGTGTTTATAATCCAAGCTCAGCACCCCAAATTGGCCTAGCTCACCAGGAAGGAACTAGAACAAGTGACCCCGGGATGAATACCAATTTGTACTCAAAGAACCTGGAGCCAGAGAGCCAAGAGCTGAGATTCCCAGGTCCAGAAGCCCAGGGGCCGACTCTGCCAAGTTTTCTGACTCATGTTGGAAATCAGTGACCTTACTGAGGCTTTTTTGTTTTCTTCCCTTGAACCTAGAGGTCTGAAAAACCCCAACCCTAGCACCTGCTTCACTTATGTGTGTATATATACTGACTCAGAAGCAGACTTTTAAAATGTTTTCTTTATCGCTGACCCTGTAAGAACCTGGTGTTTTAAAAGGAAATTGAGTTCAAGTCTCCAATCACTTTAAGCCTTGTAACTTGACTTGATTTCTCAATAGGTTTCAAAAGGTCAAAGCCAAGGTTTCCCAAACCACAAAAAATGCAATTCCCTCAGCAGGCTGCCACATCAGGTCATGCACAGCTAATCTCATGACTTCCCTCAGCAACGTGGGGACTGATGCCTAGACTTTACGAAGGGACTCTAATTGAAGGAAGACACTCCTAGTGGGCTCTAAGAAGCAACCATTCACTCACAGAGGCTGAGAAAACCAAAGTGAGGATGGTGAAGAACCTTTCTCTCTAAACACAGGATAGTCAGGGAAACCAAAATGTTTTCCTCCCAAGCACCTGCCACTCTGGCAACCCAAAGGCGGCCACAGCACATGGAGAAGGGGCTTTAGTGATGATACCAACAAGTCTGGTTACCTAAGTACCCTCCACAGCTGATCAACAATAATCACCTAGAAGCAACTGGGTCTCTGGTGAAGAGCAGACTGAAAGCAGGAAGTGATGGATCACCGTCCTACATTATGGAAGACCAAACACATACAAACAAGAGTTTAAGAGCAAAGGAACAACAAAAAAAGCAAATCTTAGACCAATTAATCAAGGAACCACACTTGAAAGTGCCTGGTATGGTCCCTGATATTTGGTCGATGCAAATAAGTCTCAGGCTATAGTTTAACATGTGTTATAAACTATGATGGTCCTAGTCATTCCTAGTCATTAAGAAAAGGTTGAATTATGCCCCATGAACTGTTTAATCAGGTAGGAAAATGCATGATTGATTTTAGAAATAACCTTAGAATCCATAGACTGTGATAAAGAATGGAGTAATTTTAATTAGCGGGAAGATTAACATCTGTGCATCTGATTCCTAAAAGGCATTAGATAAGATGAATACAAACAATACTACCATAGACTCTTTACCTTCAGTCATCTTGGGTCCTTCATTCATCCAGTCCTCTGCTGAGAATTACCCTAAGAAGTGACTGTGCACACTGGATAGAAATTAAACTGAGCTCTGGCTGGCAGGTTTTACATTCAACCTTGACTTCATCATTACTAAGGAGAAATTACTCACTGCTTCTGTGCCTCAGTTTCCTGGTCTGTAAAATGGACCTCATAATAAGCCTATCTGGTGGGGCTGTTGTGAGAATTTAACCCAATTAGAACACTACCTGGTGCACAAAAAGTACTTGGGTGGCATTGGCTACTAATATCATGTACAAGGGCTTGTGCCAATCCTGATTCCTGCCCTCAGAACATTCACAGCAGAGCGTGGGAGACCACCCTTCAAGGCTCTCTCCTACTTGGCAAGTGCTTTGTTGGCTGATCGGTGGGGGAGGAGGGAGGGTGGTAAATGGAACAGGAGTCAAGGAAAATGCCACATGCAGGAGACACATTTGGCTAGTTCTGAAAGGCAAAGGTTTCCTGAAGGGGAGGGTGGAGGGACTTTCCAGCAGAGACAGAGGGAGGGCCAGGGCAGGTGACTCAGCATGAAAGCCCTTCCCCCAGTGGGGAGGAGATAAGAAGTGGAGGTGGCCAGGGGGACATTCAGGGACACTAAAAGAGCAACAGTAACCCAGGTGAGGCAGCGCTGAACAAACATGACAGCCTGAAGTTCTGAGCATGTGGGATGACCAGGGAGAAGGGGACTGAGAGGGAGGCTGGCCAAGGTTAAGCAGCTGCCTGAGGGACTGCTGATCTCCAGCCCACAGCAGGATTCGAGGAGTCTGTAAGAGCAGGGGTGGGGCCAGACTTGCCTGTCCCCAGGCTGGCACCCTGACCCCGGGCCCCTGACCCCAGGCCTGAGCAGAGGGCTCACCTAGGGTACCACATGCATTTGTCACTACCTTTTGTCCATGGTAAGAAGGGGCAGATAATCTTTTTCTGTTTTTCTCACTTTTAAGCTGCTCAATGATTTTTTAAAACTAATTTATCTAAAGACGTTTCTATTTTGAAAAAACAAACACATTTTTAACTACCAACTTAAAGACAATACCAGAGGAAAGTGAGTTGGGTTTAGCAAAAAGGAAAAGGCATTCTATTATAATAATGAAAAGAATGATCATAGTGTTTCTGATTTTTTTAAATCATCTTTGATATTTAAAAAATTTTTGATTCAGAAATGATTAAAGAACTAAAGGGCTAACAAGACAGAATTAGATGATTTAAACAAAGTTCCTACCCAAAGGGTGAAATGCCAAAATGAAAAGTTCGATGAAATAATCTTAGCCAAAGAACAGCCATTTTAACAATGCTTAACTAAGTCATGTTTTTCTAGCAGTTCGCTTTAATTTAAACCCTCTAGTCATTAGCCAATGACAGAACCATTTTCCCAGAGATAGCTATGGAAATTTACAATTTCCCCAAGCCTGCTTTGAATTGTTTATTTTTCTAATCCAAGTTTTCCTTTTAGCCATAAAGAACCAGGATGACCTAATTGTATAAGCAGCCCTAGGAGACCTAAGTGATACAGATGGGCCCCCATCACCATGACAACATTCATGTGACTGGCCCATCCACCGGCCTGCAGTCCACAGTGCCTGTGCTTGCCTGCCCCTCTGTGATGACCTAAGACAAACCACCACCCAATCACCTTAGCGACCTCCCCCCACACCAAAGGGAAAGTTTAAAAGGCATTCAAGCCTCAAGCAGCTTCTGCTATGCTTTTGCTTCCCTAAACTTTGGCGCTTCCCCTACCTTGGGGAGGTGAATCTCCTCTCTCTTGCTAATCTTTCTAAATAACTATGCTCTAATCTAATTTCTGTGCAATACTTTGCATCTTACCCACAGCGCCAGCTCAGCACACAATCCTCCCAAACTTAACATTTTTGGAAACCTAACACTACCTTAGCTAAATTGTAAAGAAGACTGTTAGATCCTGAAGAAATTAAATAGGAAAGAAATAAAACTACAAGAAAATAGACTTCAATATTAAACGATTGAAGGGAGTAGGACTTTTTAAGCACAGAAATGACAGAAAAGTTTATAAAAGACTAGACTTGACTATGTATAAATTTCATTTAGTTATTTTTATTTTATTTTTTATTAATGCACACTTTTTTATTATATTAAAATCAGGCAATGGTCTGACAATAAAAAGGCTGCCCATTAAATACTGTTACGCTCAACTTGACTTACAGGATGTTAAATCCTTAGAACTAACGTTTTTGCCAGAAAAAGATTAATGGAAGCATCGATTGCTTTCAGACTTGATGGTTGCTGCTTCGAAAGGTGGCTTTACACAAATACTAACGTGAGAAACCTTGAGTACACAATGGATTGCTTTATTTTGGTATGCATCCACACGTCAGCACTGAGTGGTCCTGAACAGAAAGTGGGAGCGCAGCTGTGCAGAGTCGGCCCCCAGCCTTGGCCTGCTGTGCATGCGCGTCCATCTTCTCCCTGCTGTGGCTTGCAAGAAGCAGCAGACCAAAACCCAGGCGTGCCCCGCAGTCAAGCTTCTCCTGTTCCAGTTGTCAGATTCCAAGCTAGACCCTGGCAGGCGGCAAGGCTGACCGTGCGGGAACCCTGTTGAAAACTTTTGCCATTTTAAAAAACAAAAGCAGTTACAGGAAAAGAAAACAATTCAGAAGGGTCGTGTGCTTACAAGTGTCTTCTTCATGTGGCCTCTCTCCGAGTCTAACCACCAAGGACTCTAGGAGCGGGTGGGTCTGGAATCCTGGTGACTATTCTTTTCACCTCTCAAAACCTGAGTTAAAAAACACATCAGGTGATGATGACAGTGGAGGATGGTGGCAGGGCTAAGGGCCCCAAATTCATTTCCCAGGTTGGTGGAGCATGAACAGATGTGGTTCCAGGACTACACGAGGGAGGTCAGACTTTCCAACTCTACCTGATGGCTTCTGGCCACAGCCAGGAAGTGTCATGGCAAGTGTTGGGTGGTGATGGTGCAGAAAGGGACTTGCAGAGGAGGGGGAAAAGCAGCACCCCTCAAAGGTGAGGGAGAGAGGTGGGAAGCCCTGAATTCCTCACTGAAGGCCAGTCTCAGGGGACCAGTGGGGTTACAATCTATGCTTTGGCCAAGGGCAGGGGTGGGGGGGCGTGGGGACAGGATGATGGCTTGGCAGGGGCGTCATTTAAGATTGAAGAAGGAAACCAAGGGCACAGGCAAAGCACCCCACATCCAGCAGTAGTCCCACAGGCTATGACTGGAAATCTTCACATCTGTTCTAATAGGCCCCTGAGCTCGGGCCATTGTGGGGAGGGCAGGAGGTGGAGGGAGGCAGAGATCCCAGGCCATGTAATCTCAGCAGCAAGGTGATTGTGTGATGTGTCGTTTCACAGCTGAGTTAGATGTGCCCCACCAGTGGCGATGGGGATCAATTTAAATAGACTTTCTTGATCCCAGAAGTTCAACTACATGGACAGTGGTTACATTGGACAGGGTGACCTGCTATAGCAAAACTTATATATTTCCAATAGACAAAAAATTAGTATCATTTATAGTATCTTAAGATAAATTGCTTTTGAATGGGAGCTTCCTTTCCAGTACTTTGAGGTCTGCAAGACGTATCTAGAAATTCACAGTCGAAAATGAAGACTATGTCAGTGGCGCGGGGAGGGCGCCACGGCTGGTGGGCCTAGTTGCTGTAACACTGTCCCTTGGGCGGCTGGGGGAGCTTCACGTTCTCCTTGGACAGCATGAGGCGCTGCAGCTCCTGCAGGACAACCTTGATGCTGTATGAGTTCTGCCACTTTGCTAGCACTGATATGGCTCTGGGGTCCACCACTACATTAGAACTATTAACTCCATTCATATTAATTTTTGTTACAAATCTTACAAAGGGGGGTGCTTCTGGGTATTTAGGTCCATATTCTATTTTAAGGCTGTATATTCAGTTTTCATAAATTGTTCTTGGAGGCCCAATTATCATCCCTGACCATCTTGTAAGTGTCATATCTTTGTCATCTTCTAGACCCCAGCTAACTGTGCCATCTCCTACTCCTTTCTGGTCTTCTTCGAGTTCTTCCAACAGTTGGAAATTGTGAGGGACTTTTACTCCCGAGCCCGTGGTGGCTGCCATCTTGTGTCGCTGTCGCTCGAAGCCCAGCCCCTTCTTCACCCCCGTTATTATTATTTTAATAGAAACAATGTCTCATTATGTTGTCCAGGTTGGTCTTGAACTCCTGGGATCAAGTGATCATCCTGCCTCGGCCTTCCAAGTGCTTGGATTACAGGCATGAACCAATGTACCCAGCCTTGACTATGTATAAATTTACAATTAATAAGGCAAACAATGGAAAAACAGATGCCCCAAATGTGACAAATGGTTAACATCAATATTATATAAAAAGTTCACAGAGTGGCATGAACACTTCAGAACCCAGATAGGCAAATGGGCCAAGGACAAGATGCCAAGTGTGGAAACAACTGCTTGGCAAACACAAAGAGAACACTCAGCCCGCGTGGGAACCCCAGGGTGGAATGCAACTGGTCCACGCGTCTAGGAGGTGGGTAGGAAAAGTGCTGTGGTACATTCACTCTATTAAAAAGTATCATCATTAAAATCCACTTGTATAAAGACCAACCTATCATATGGGAAAATTCCAAGATATAACATTAAGTGAATAAATAACACATATATCATGTATATGTGTATTACGGATCCATGGATCCTGGGTCAAGAACCCCTGTAAGATGTTCCTGGACCTCCCTCAGGACTAAGTAGCCTAAGGTCCCTGTAAAATGGAAACAAGGAGGGGGATGGTGACACAGGCAGACATGGTCTTCCTTTGAGGATTTATTCCCATGACCACATCTACAAGAGCATACCTGAGCCAACACAGACAATGACCAGAAGACAGCTTGGTGGGAGAATAGTGAGTTTTCTGGGGGTTATGATCAGAACTCATGTCTTTCTCAGGAGACAAGGATAAGGACCACCAGGGCAGGCCAGGAAACCCAGAAGGAACATTCTCCGTTAGGTTTTTCTTTAGTTCTCAAGTGAAGTTCATTCCTTCAAGGAGGCAGAGTCTTCCTCTTGCTCTAAGAAATTTAGTTTAAAACACCAACAACAACACAAAACAAATAACAGGACACTTAGATCCTAATCCTGGCTCAACTTCTTGTCTCCAGAAGGAGAGCCTCAGATACAGATTTGCTCTATCTAGTACACTATGTTTCATCAGGCATGACACACATACAAAAATGCTTTTTAAAATGAAAACCTGGCTGAGCGCCGTGGCTTTCATCTGTAATCCCAGAACTTTGGGAAGCTAAGGCAGGAGGATTGCTTGAGACCAGGAGTTCAAGACAAGACCAGGCAACAAAGTGAAACCCCATTTCTACAAAAAATAGAAAAATGTGCTGGGCTTGGTGGCATGCACCTGTAGTCCTAGCTACTTGGGAAGCTGAAGCAAGAGGATCGCTTGAGCCCAGGAATTTGAGGGTGTGGTGAACCATGATCATGCCACCGTCCTGTAGCCTAGGTGACAGAATGAGACTCTGATTTTTTTAAAAAAGAGGGAATCTGTGTTTTCTTAAAGTTCCTTCATATAACAACAGGATTCACATTTACAGTCCTGCATATAGATTTGTACAGACTAACACAATTAATCCACTAAGACTAACAATAAGAGCAAACACTTAAATGTCACTAATTATGCGCTGGACGCTAGTCTAAGCACTTTATAAATACTGACTCATTGGCTCATTGAATCCTCACAACACTCTCGTGGAGGAGGGTTCTATTTTTATCTCCATTTTATAGATAAGGAAACCCAGCCACAGAGAACTAGTAAGTTGCAAAGGCAGATTCGAAATGGGTCACCTGACACCACAGCCAAATGATGGACACCTGAGGCATGGATCAGGATCTTTATCTCTGAAGTCCCACCACTGAGAATAGGACTGAGTCATAACAAATGAAACAGCCAGCAATTATTTATTGAGCAATCGATTACAACAGAATTGTGAAGCATTTTTACCATTCAGCAGTTTTGAAGAAGATCTTGCTGTCTTCTTCCTCTATTAATTTTTTTCTAACATGGTAAGAAGAGGCTTTATTGGAAAGATTTTTGCAGGGGGGAGGGAGGGAGAACCTACTGTAATGGGGGGGTGGAAAATATTGCAACAGGAAAATGTTCTGGCCCAAGCATCTCCCTCTACTAATCTTCTAAAAAATGATTAAAACAATCCCAACTCCCCAATGTTTGGAGTCAGTGATCACCGCCAAAGCCTCTAACAACCCCTGCCACCTGATTACTGCTCGTGCCAACGAAGGTGGGGACAAGGAGAAGATAAACAGAAAAGTCTAGCTCAGACCAACAGTGAATTCTGGAAACAGACGTAAAGCCAAGTGTGTGGGGAAGAGAAATGGGAGGAGACCCTAGAAGCCACAAAGAACATCAAGAGGTGATCTTAAAAGGGCCAAGGGTGGGTGATGGATGGCTCGATGACCACATTCTGCCAACTCGGGAGGGAGTCCCTGAATTTCTCAACACAACCCTGAGGCTCAGCCAGTCCACAAACCCATTCTTTGTTGAGGCATCATACATGCATGCAAAACACCAGTAGTGTTTCAGACGGAATGGGCCAGAAACCTGCACCCCTCCATACACAGCCCTGGAGTGGTGCTGGCGGCTGTAGTGGCATCATGTTTCTGGCATGGCATATTTCTGTCATGTTTCTGGCATAGCAGGGGGGCGGTCAAGACTCACCTGTAGGTATATGGCCCCACTTCTTCCACCCGAGGAGTCTCCCCTCTGAGGATCTCCTCTGGGTTGGTGACATTGAAGAAATAGAACTGGGTGTACACGGGCAGAGGGGGCTTCTCCCAGGAGTCGAAGACTTCAGAGCCATTTCTCAACACAATATTCTAGGGAAGAAAACCAAAAGGAGATTCACTAAGATGCAAGGAAGCCGTTTGTCAACACAAGAGGCAGCGGGAAAGACACTCCCGGGTCTCACCTCCAGTTCCCTTATTTTCATCATTTCCAGGCATTCCACTGCAGTCTCTTGAGAACAGGGCCGTCTCTTACACCAAAAGGGACCAAAGCCCTGTTAAGTCATAGAGGCCTCCGATAAATATTTGAAAAGGAAGACTGCCAGAGACATAGCTCAATGGAGAAAGTATGGTGTTACCAAAGCCCAGGCTGTAAGTTTAGTTCCTGAAGGCCCTACTGGCTTTGCTAGTTTTGAAGATCCCATTGATGGTACAGCTTCGGTGCAAGTTAGGCTCTTCTGAAAAGCACCAATTTGCCCAGGGGAAAGAAGAGCAAGGAGACAGGCCCAAGAAGGCCAATTTCTGTCCTTCTGCTTGAAGTAGAACTATGCCCATCCCTACTACCTCCATCCCCCACGCTTTCCAAATATTTTCTTATTCAGTCCCCAAAACGCTAACATGGAGATGCCTGTCCCTGTTTCAGAGACAAGGAAGTCGAGCCTCTCTAAGGTTAAGTGACTGTGGCAGACTTGAGCTTTCTGTCCATAATCCTTCCTTCACTTCCTCCCTTGTTGTGTGTCACAGGCTGAATTATGGACCCCCATGGCAAATTCGTCTGTTGAAGTCGAACCCCTGGTACCTCAGAATGTGTATTTGGAGAAAGGTCTTAAAAATGTTAAATGAGGTCATGGAGGTGGGCCCTAATCCAACATGACTGGTGTCCTTAAGAGGAGGACACCGGGACACAGACATGCACAGAGGGAAGGTGATGTGGAGACACAGGGAGAAGACAGTCATCTACATGTCAAGGAGGGGGTCTCAGAATAAATTAACAGCCGATGCCTTGATCTCACACTTCCAGCATCCAGAGCCGTGAGTCAAACTTCTGCTGTTGGAGCCACCCAGTCTGTGGGATTAACTCTGGCAGCCCTAGCAAATTCAGGCACCACAGCTCCCTCACGGGGGGAGTATTTCTTTCCCACCCCCTGACTTCAGGCTTGGCCAGCTGACTAGATTTGCCCAACAGCATATGGGTGGACCAGCAAGGCATCTATCTGAAGTGAAGGCCTTCAGACACGTGGCAGTATCCATCGCCATCTTGGAGTAGAGCAGAGCAGGCTGCAGGCAGCTGTAGGTCCTTCAGCCTCGGTCCTAAATAGGATGTGTAGATCAGAAGCCTAGAGTCCAGCCTTGTCCAGCTGAGCCAGCCAAGCTTGCACTGCAGGCAGCCTACACACCCATGAGTGTTATAAGCCAAGGAGACTGGGGGGTTGTTTGTTACTCAGCATTGTAGAAGAGGCCTGAGCAATACGGTACCCAGGACTGATGGGCAGAAACCCAGTACCTGGTAGTCCCAATGGTCCTCAGGCTGTTCATGGAGAAAAACCTCGTATTTTTACAGCAGAAACCACTGATGTGCACAAGAAAGATGAAAGCACAGGCTGAAAATAAACCAAAATGTGGGCAGGAGTTAGCCTGGGGTGTTGAAAATATGGACCACTGCTATAATCAGGTCAGGATTTGGAGGAGTCTTCTATTGTCTGTTTTTCATTTGGATTTTTGCAACAGAAATAAATTACTTATGGAAGCAGGAAAAAAATGGTTCCCTTGTCTTCTTTGTTCTACAGTGTTTGTCCACAGTGTTTCTGTTGGGCTCTGAGGCAGGGAGGGGTGGGTGCAAGGAGCCCCACTTCACTGTGGGCCAGCCTCTGCTCCTGCAGGGTTGAGGCCAGTTTTCTGCTGCACAAGCCATGCTCAGCTCTGCTGCAAGAGTTGGGAGCAGCCCACACTCAGCTGACCTGAGTTTCTCTTCCTATTAGTGTCAGGATAGCTGACATTAGGGATCCTGGCTAATCTTTCCTGACAGCATCAGAGTGTGTGCAGAATTTCAGAGTGAGAAAACACTTGAGATCTTATTTCTTTGTTCATGTAAAGAAAATCATCCCAGAATTATGAACCCTGAAGGAACCAGAAGTGCAAATGGACAGACAGCTCACCCGAATAGATGTCACCTGGTTTGCAATGGATGGATGGCTCACCCCTGAGTGGATGTTGCCAGGTTTGCAATGGATAGATGGCTCACCTCTGAGCAGATGTCACTTGGTTTGCAATGGATGGACAGTTCACCCCTGAGTGGATATTGTCTAGTTTGCAATGGATGGATGGCTCACCCCTGAG